ACACACACACACACACACACACACACACACACATATATATATATATATATATATATATATATATATATATATATATATATATATATATATATATATATATATGTATGTATGTATATATATGTATGTATGTATATATATGTATATATATATATCTATGTCTATCTCTCTATCTATATACATATATATATATATATATATATATATATATATATATATATATATATATATATATTATATATATATATATATACATATATATATACATATATATATATATATATATATATATATATATATATATATATATATATATATATATACATATATATATATATATATATATATATATATATATATATATATATATATATATATATACATGTATATATATATATATATATATATATATATATATATATATATATATATATATATATTTATATATATATATATATATATATATATATATATATACATATATATATATATATATATATATATATATATATATATATATATATATATATATATATATGTGTGTGTGTGTGTGTGTGTGTGTGTGTGTGTGTGTGTGTGTGTGTGTGTGTGTGTGTGTGTGTATAGTAATAGCAGTAGTAGTAGTTGCAGTATTGGTAGTAGTAGTAGTAGGATTGATGGCAATTATGATAATAATAATGTTAATGTTGAAAAAGGCACCTATAATAATGATAATGATAGTTATGCACCTCAAAAATTGACAAACTACATTGAAAACAACAACAACAACAATCATAACGGTAATAACGATAACCACATGCAATAACATGCTCTTATTCAACCACTCCTTGCTAAATCGACAGCCGGAAGTGAAGAACGATAACAAACAATTTCCGCTATAATTTTTTTTCTCCGTTTTTTTCCCCCTTTCCTAAGCTAATTACATAACGTTCCCTGAGCATTAAACATTTAAGACTTAAACACTCAGCAGGGTGGGGGGTGGAGGGGTGGGGGTTAAATTCGCTCAAAGTTTACCACAGAAAAAAATAGGAAAGAATGATAAACTATATAGGTCAGGTTGATTCACAGAGAATAGATGAATAGATAAATAGATGGAGAGACAGATAGATCGGTAGTGATAGATTGGTATATAGACGGATGGATTTATAAACATATAGTTAGATAGAGATAGACTGATAGAAGGATGAACAGAGAGACAGGTAGATAGATAGATATACAGATAGATAGACAGATATATAGAAACAAAAAGATAGATAGATAGATAGATATATAGAAACAAAAAGATAGATAGATAGATAGATAGATACAGAGAGAGAAAGAGAGAGAGAGAGAGAGAGAGAGAGAGAGAGAGAGAGAGAGAGAGAGAGAGAGAGAGAGAGAGAGGAGAAATGCGTGACAAATTGCGGTAGAAAGACAAAATCTCATTGTCTCTCCGAAAACAACAGGGGCCGCCAGTCAAGAGTCCACGTGTCGAGGTAGAAAGTTGGTTGAGAGAGTGAGAGGGGGGGGGGGGGGAGGTAGAGAGATGAGGGGGGGGAGAGAAAAAGGGTGGGGGCAGGGAGAGAGAGAGAGAGAGAGAAAGAGAGAGACAAAAGGAGGGAGGGTATGGGAGAGGTAGAAAGAGAGGATGGGGAAGGGAGAGAGGGGAAGAAAGAGAGAGAGAGAGAGAGAGAGAGAGAGAGAGAGAGAGAGAGAGAGAGAGAGAGAGAGAGAGAGAGAGAGAGAGAGAGAGAGAGAGAGAGAGAGAGAGACACAGAGACAGAGAGAGGCAAAGAGAGACAGAGACAGAAAGAAAAACAGAAAGTAAGTGGTTGATCATGTTCAGACAACACCCCTAAGCAGTATCACAAACTCACCTCATTTACAACAAAAATAAAAATAAAGAAAAAATATATAAAAATATGTAATTCAGTCTCCGGTCACATCTAACCTCCCTCTGCCCTTGTAAACAGAGAAAGCTAGAACTCTCCCCTCCTTCATTCTTGCCCACACTCCCCCTTTCTTGCCCTCTCCCCCCCCCTCGTGCCTTCTCCGCCCTATTGCCTCCCCCCCCTCTTGCCCTCCTCCCTTCTTGCCCACACCCCCCCCTCTCGCCTTCTCCCCCCCTCTTGCCCTTCTCCCTTCTTGCCCTCTCCTTCCCTCCTCTTGCCCTTTCCTCCTCCCCTTTTGCCCTCTCTTCCCCCTCCTGCAATCTCCACCCCTTCTTGCCCTTTCCTTCTCCTCTTCTGCCCTCTCTTTGCTCTCTCTTTGCCCTCTCCTTCCCTCCTCTTGCCCTCCTCTTGCCCTCCTCCCTCTTGACTTCTCCTCCCCCCTCTTGCCCTCTCTCCCCCCCCCCCCCGGTTTCACTGCTGCTATTGTCTCCTTTCGTCAAATGGTCTTTTCAACGTGACCTAGATTGACCCTGTGTGGTTGAGTTCGATTTTTCGCGTCAGGAGAACTCGTCAATAGAATGTTGTTGTTGGTTGTTTGACGATCACTTCCCCTACCCCCCCTTCCTTTTCCCTCCCTCCCCCTCCTTCCTTTTCTTCTCCTTCTTTCCTTCTCCCTCCCTCTCCTTCCCTCCCCCCCTCCTTCCCCTCTCTCCCCCTCCTTCCCCCTCCTTCCCCTTCTTCTCCTTTCCCTCCCCCTCCCCCTTCTTCTCCTTCTCTCCCTTCCTTCCCCTCCCTCCCCCTCCTTCCCCTCCCTTCTTCTCCTTCTTTCCCCTTCTCCTTCTTTCCCTTCCTTCCCTTCCATTTCTCTTCTTCTCCTTCTTTCACTTCCTTCCCTTCCATTCCCCTCCTCCCCCTCCCTCCCCTTCCTTCCCTTTCTTCTCCTTTCCCTCCCCCCCTTCTTTTTCTTCTTTCCCTTCCTTCCCTTCCATTCCCGTTCTTCTCCTTCTTTCTCTTCTCCTCCCCCTTCTTCTCATGGTTTCCCTTCCTCCCCATTTGGTTTTAAAAGTCTTTGACGAGGCTCTTCTTTCCCTCTCCCTCTCTTTTTCTCTTCTCCTTTCGTTGTTTCTCTCTCTTCTTCCTTCTTCTACGTTTTTTATTTATGTAATTTCTTACGTCACTACATTTTAGTTCTTCTCTCTTTTCCTTTCTCGTTTGCTCGTTTCTCTCTCTTCTTCCTTCTTCTTCCTCTCTTTTTATATAATTTCCTTCGTTTTTACCTTTTAGTCCTTCTCTCCTATTTCCCCTTTTAACGCATCCTTCCCTCCCTTTCCTCTCTTTTCCCCTCTTCCAATATTGGCCTTACGTCCCTCACCCTTTTATCTCGACCATTTTCCCCTCTTCCCCCCCTTCCCTCCCTCGTTTAACTCCTTCCCCCTCCCTTAACCCCTTCCCCCCTCCTCTCTTTACCCCTTCCCCCCCTCCCCCTTTACCCCTTTACCCCTCCTCCCTTAACCCCTTCCCCCCTCCCTTTACCCCTTCCCCCTTCCTCCCTTTCCCCCTTCCCCCCTCCCTTTACCCCTTCCCCCCTCCTCCCTTTCCCCCTCCTCCCTTTCCCCCTTCCCCCCCTCCTCCCTTTACCCCTTCCCCTCTAACGACCCCTAACCAATTACAATCTCCCCCCCCCCCTCCCACCTCCCCATTTCCTATCCGTCTGGGACTCGTAGATGCCTCGGAGGAAAAGAGAAAACGAATTCGTGTTTTTTTTTTTTTTTTTTTTTTTTTTTTTTTGTCTCTCTCTTTCTCCCTACTTTTAAAAGGAGATGCAAGACAGGTCAGATCTCACCAACGAGAAAATGGTAGCAACAGCAGTATCACTTGCTCTCTCTCTCTCTCTCTCTCTCTCTCTCTCTCTCTCTCTCTCTCTCTCTCTTTCTCTCTTTCTTTCTCTCTCTCTCTCTCTCTCTCTCCTCTCTCTCTCTCCTCTCTCTCTCTCTCTCTCTCTCTCTCTCTCCTCTCTCTCTCTCTCTCTCTCTCTCATTCTCTCTCTTTCTCTGTGTGTATGTGTGTGGTGTGTGTGTGTGTGTGTGTGTGTGTGTAATATATATATATATATATATATATATATATATATATATATATATATATATATATATATATATATATATATATATATATACACACACACACACACACACACATTCTCCCTATGAATTCAGCGACATTTTTTCACAAAGCGTTCATCACCGAAGGAAAATCGCTCACGAACCATCGA